AAAAAAAAAAAAAAAAAAAGAAAGAAAAGTGTTAAGTGTCCTTTATATGTGATTTCCAAATTTTTTAGCAATAAACATATACTTTTTTTTTGATCACTCTGTATCATCTTAACCTGCTCGTATTACTGTCTGCCTCTCCCCCGTTGCTCTTTGACTCCCACTCACTGTTCGCGTGTGTGCACACATATACATACACATTTGATAACCATATACTTTGGAAATAAGAAACAAAAGTAAAAGTTTGTTGTAGTAATTGAATATTGTATTAATTCAGTAAAGATGAACTGCATTAGTTTTAATAACAATACAAAAATCAATACACAATAATTAGAACCTCACACAATAGAATAATTAATTTATTACCTGAGTTGGAGTAATGATGGGCACACCACCAACAATATCAGTTCTGTAAGACACTTGCTTCTTCCCACATTCACCTTGGCGACTTGGGTTATCGGAATTAGGCTGTGAATCTGACTGCTTTGGTACCTGAAATAGTAAGTAAAATAAACCATTTTGCAATCAGCATTATATATGTATCCCTCCTTTATCACAATTTTTAACTAATCATTCATTTATATATGATTGAAATATATATATATACAAATTTTTTACAGTGCCTTTAGTCTTCAAATTCTTACACCAATTTTTCTATTTTTTTGAGTCAAGGTCTTACTCAGTCACCCAGGCTGAAGTGCAGTAGCACAATCATGGCTCACTGTAGCCTCCAACTTCTGGTCTCAAGCAATCCTCCAGCTTCAGTCTCCCAAGTTGCTGGGACTACAGATGCATGCCTCCACAACAGGCTAACTTTTTTATTTTCTGTAGAGACAAGGTCTCAATATGTGCCCAGGCTGATCTTGAATTCCTGGGCTCAAACAATCCCCACCTCAGCCTCCCAAAGTGCTGAGATTATAGGCACGAGCCACCATACTTAGCTCATTTTTCTGTTAAAGTAATACTATATAAGACAACTGTCACTTAGAGAGTGCTTACTTGGGCAGGTAGTATTCCATATATTTCCTCAATTACTCCTCCTGTCAACCCTATGCATAGAGGCAATGCCCCCATCTAAGCTAAGGAAAAAGAAGTCCAAAGGCATTAGGGAACACAGGTTTAGATCCTGGCTGTACTGCATTCTAGCCAAGTTTGCATAACTTCCAAACCCAACTGCTGTTTATTGGAGCACTTAATATTGGCTTACAGCTCTTTGCTGTTATTTTCCCTTTCCTCCATTCCTACCCATGATTCTGCAAGGCACTGAGGACAGGGACCATAGCATGTTCAAACTTTCCTGGCTTCAAGACAGAGAGATTACTACCAAAAACATAGTAAGTATCCAATAAATGCTGAAAGACTGACTCAAAGGATGAATCCAAAATCAGCAGGAAGAATAAAATTCTTAACAAAAATCAAAATGTTCACCGGGCTCTGTGGCTCAGCCTGTAATCCTGCGCCTTTGGGAGGCTGAGGTGAGTGGATTGCCTGAGCCCGCGGGTTCGAGACCCGCCTGGGCAGTGAGACCTCATCTCTACAATAAATCAAAAAATCAGCCGGGCGTGGTAGCGCATGCCTGTAATTCCGGCTACTCGGAAGGCTGAGGCGGAAGGATCGCCGGAGCCCAGCAGGTCGAGGCTGCGGTGGCCGGGAGTGGTCATCGCACTCCAGTCTGGGTGACAGAGTGAGACTCCAACTCAAAAAAAAAAAAAATGTTCAAAATAAAATAAAGTTTTTCATTAGAAATTGCAAGAAGGAATTCCAATATTTAGATCAATGACAAATCACTCACATGTATAAACAATGATTGTGAAAAACAAGCAGAATCGCATATATTAACACCTCACTAAAGTGGATCAAAGAATCAGAGGTATCACAAATGTTTATCACATATTTTAGTTTGTCTTATGAGGTATATTCAGGAAATAAGGGACTTGACTAATATACCAAAATTTATACTGGGTTTTCAGCTTTTACTGATTTTTAAATTTTAAAAGAAGACATATTCTAAAAAATTATGTTCAGGAATAAACCATATACATTCTGCACATTCCTTAATCAGTAAGGGACCAGAGACTCCCATATTTATGTTGTTATTAATATAAACGAATAGTTGAAAGCACACTTTACAATTTGATTGTCCCAACTCTAGTGATAGATACTTCCCTCAGGGTTGGTTCCTCCACTATTACTCCTGTTCTTTTTTTTTTTTTTCCCAAAAAATAGTGTCTTTAACTCATGATGATTACCATTTTTCAACTTTACGATGGATTTATCAGGTTTGTAGCAGCATTTGAACTTACAATGGTTAGATTTAAGACTTTTTTAACCTTACAATGGGTTCATTTGGGTATTGAATGCGTTTTCAACTTACGGTATTTTTGCCTAACAATGGGTTTATCAAGATATAACCCAGCTGGCTCAGTGGCTCAGCCTGTAATCCTGTGCCTTGGGAAGCTGAGGGTTCAAGACCCACCTGGGCAACCTTGTGAGACCTCATCTCTACAATAAATCAAAAAATTAGCCGGGCATGGTAGCGTGCGCCTGTAGTTCCAGCTCCTTGGAAAGCTGAGGCAGAAGAAATGCCAGAGCCCAGCAGGTCGAGGCTGCGGTGGCCAGGAGCGGCCACTGCACTCCTGC